TCCATTGCACCACCTAGCTACCCCTTTATGTCTTGCTTGTACATAATTGTTTGTGTATTGTTTCCCCCATTAGACTGTGAGCTTTTTGAGCAGAGCAGGGACTGGCTTTTACTTTTCTTTGTATCCCTAGTTCCTAGCATAGTGCCTGACACATGGTAGAAGCTTTATTGGTTTATTCTGTTTATTTGTTTATAACATTTATTGACCAAAGATAGCCCTAGGAAATACATTGATCTTTCAGATATAATAAGGATTATATAAATGCTATTTTGCAGATAGCCTGTTTTAGCATTTATCTGTAAAATCCCGTTTAATACATAATACAAGCTGGTAGAAGTTTATCTTCCATTTATTAACTTGTTGGAGTATTCCTAATGCAAATGATTTAAATGCCTACAAATTATATGATTTTCTTTTCTGATAACCTGATGTGCTCAGTTTTACCCTCTTTTTCATTTTATCATATCCAAAAATACTTTGCTATTTTTTGGGATTTTAAAATGAATTGTATAGAGCTATAGTAAAACTGAAATCTATCTGCCTGTCATTAATGCCTGGAGACAAAGGGCATTTCATTTACTGTGTCACAAAGAAGCATCCTGGTCATTGAAACAAATATGAGGTTATATTGTTTTCTCTTAAAGAATTTAAGTAAAAGACATATTCAAGATCAAAATAAAACTTTGATTATGCCAAGCCTACAAGGGCACCTTATTCTAAGACAATACAAATTAAATTAAATTAAATTAAATTAAATTAAATTAAATTAAATTAAATGCTGCTTATTGTCATACTGCTTTGAGTTTAAGTTTTTTTATGGCTTGACTAATAAATCTGACATCTCTTGTGAGTCCTGAATCGATTTGCCTGTATGTAACAGAATCATTATCACATGTCCTTGCTGTTCTCCCAAAGGACAGCTGTCATCACAGCCATCAAGTGAATTACAATTGAATCCACTGTCTCAGTCACACAAAGTTGTCATTTGCATGAGGAGAACATGCACTGAGTAAACTCTTTTATAAAGAGTCCTGAAATAGAAGTGGTATCAGTGAAAAGATTTCTCGATTCCCCGTATCTAGGAATTTAAGAGACAGCCCTTTCTTTAGCTCATGACCATAGCAATAGACTGTCCTAATAGCTCATTGACTTTAGGAAGCTGATAATATGAGTATTCTTATGGTTAACCCTGCATATTACTTTGGGGAGGGGGAGAGACAGGGAAAGGAATAGTGTAAAAATGAACTCAAAATTGCAACTGAAAAGTGGGCTTATATATGTTCATATTTAACGATTGTCCTTTAATTTTTTTTCTTTTTTTTTTTGCTTTTTGGTGGGGCATTCGGGGTTATGTGACCTGCCCAGGGTCACACAGCTAGTAAGTGTCAAGTGTCTGAGGTCGGATTTGAACTCAGATCCTCCTGACTCCAAGGCCAGAGCTCTAACCCCTGTACAACCTAGCTGCCCCTTGTCCCTTCATTTTTCAATTCCTTTTTTAAATGGCTATATCACTATAACATTGAATTATCTCCTAGGGATCTATGGTTCCCTGATGGATTAAAGTTATGATTTTCAATCCTGGTTTGCTAATATTCTAGAGCAGTGATCTATACTGTGAGGAGATTTGAAGCTTGAAGAGTCCCAAAGAGGACTGAAGGAAGCCAGCGTTCTCCCACTCTCAATAATTCCACCCCACCCCTCAGGTAGGGCAGGGCATTCATCTCCACCAATAAGGACAGAGTTTCATGACTGGTCTTTTGGACAGGGATTACACTTGGTTGTCTTATCCTATAGGGCTCACTCTGTCCCATCCTGAAAGGAAGAAATAGTGGGGATTCTTTCTCACATGTCATTGCTTCTGTGTATAGAGTCTGCCCTCCAAAAGATGCCTGATATAGCTAGGAATTAATCTTGGGGTTGGGAGTGAGTATGTGTGTCTTAGTTGGGATACAACTGTCTTGAGGGTCTGATGTCCACGGCAGAAGAAGAAAAGTGCCGCAGTAGGAGGGGGTAGAGTAGGGGATTATTGGGTGAAAATGAGTTGTATTGAAGAAAAGCTCCTGGTTGGTTTTCTAGGGGAGGGTGGGATGCTACTCATCTTCTCATCCTCTGGTTGATCATATGCTCCTTGAAGTCATGTGAAGTGAGTGCAAGAAAGGAATTAAGAATGACTGGGAAGACTCAATAGTAATGAGGAAGTGGGAATGAGGGGAAGGTTTGTTGGAAAAGATGAGGGCTATTTTGAACCTATTGCATTTGAGATGTGTATAGGACATCCAGTTCAATGAAACTGGAGCTTAGGAGAGAAGTTAAGGCTGATTAAATAGATCTGAGAATCATCTGTGTAGAGTTGATCATTGAACCTGTAAGAGCTGACGATGGCAATCCAGGATGGTTGAATCAAGTGAGTATTTTTTTTTAAGATAGGGGAGACATAGATATGTTTGTAGGCCATAGGGAAGCAGTTAGCAGTTGGGGAGAGATTGAAAATTAGTGAGAATGGGGATAATAGAGGGAGCAATTTGCTAGAGAAGATGGGATAGAATGTAAAGAAAGGTATATGTAGAAGGTTTGTCTAGGCAAAGAGAAGGGTTACTTTTTGTGTGTGAGACAGGTAAAGGAAGGAGACAAAGGAGAAAGACAGCTGAGTGATGTAAGATGAGGAGGCAAGAAAAGGAGATGAGGAAGTTCTCACCAAATAGCCTTAGTTTGTGCAGCAAAGCATGAGGTGAGGTGCCAAAGAATGCTTGAGGAGGGATGAAAAGGTTTGGAATAATCTCTGGGATGAGTTGGTCAGTGAATCATTTAGGAAGATGGAGGATTGTCTTGCTGCATTGAGGACCCAGTAGAGATTTTGTAACATAAACTTGTAGTGGATCCAGTCCACATTGTCTTATGATTTTCTCCATTTCTGTTCAGCAGCACATGATCCACATTACATGTTTTCCCACAAATCCATTCACCTTCTGAACCTCCCTTTTTCTGTCAAGTGCACTGCTATCTTTCCAGTCACGCAGGTTTGTAGCCTGTTTGGCCTTGCCTCCTCACTTTCACTCACTGCATGTATCTAAGAAGTTGTCAAATCTTGTCATTTATGTCTACGGGTTTCTCCAATCTGTCCCCTTTTCTCCATTTACATAGCCACAACCCTGATGCAGGTCCTTATCATCTCTCATTTGAACTATTACAATAGACCCTTAATTAATCTTTCTGCTTCCAGTCTCTCCCCTTCTCCAATCTAGCCTCCACACAGCTGCCAAAGTAATGCTCCTAAGTCACGTTTGACCATTTCACCCCACTACTTCAATAATCTCCAGTGACTCCATATTATGTCCAGGATTAATATAAACTCTGTTGAACATTTGCAGCCCTTTATAGCCTAGAGCCCCAAACATCTTTCCAGCCTTATTACTCCTTTCCTGCATCCTATGGTCCACCCACACCAGCCTTCTTGCTATATCCAAACATGGATAAAAAATTAAGATACAGTGGTGCCCATCAAGCAGAATCACACAAAGAAAGAAGAATTAGTTTATATTGAAAACTTTCTAGTAAGGTAAAATCAGAGACAATTCACTTCTACATACTCTTTTTGTGTGGTTCATGATAAAGATCTATACACAAAGAAACATGACTTCATGTCTAAGGTGTGGTTATCTATTTCCTCATTAGTCACTAAAATTTCCACATCCATCTCCCATTATCTGGGAATCCTCACTTCAGTTTATGAAATAGTGTTTATTTCATAAACTGAAGAAACTTTTTTTTTTACCATAAGCAATTGTCCATATCTCTCAATATGTCAAACCCTTTAATCTTTTATGATTAATTCAATATGATAGCCAATAGCTGTAAAGTTTATTAGCAATGTAATTAATAACTTAAAGGTATAACTAATTATAATATTTTAGCTGGAAAGGCACACTTCCATCATTCAATTCACTCAAAATACCAGTCCACTTTAAAGAAAATTCTTCATCTTCTTTGAAAGATAAAGATTAAAAGAGTTTCCTCAAGAGAGAACATCTTTTTATTTCTTTCTCTCTGTATTCTCCAGCCTCTCTCCACCATGATGGGAGAAGTCTCTCTAGCTTTTCCTAAGTCATCACACTGAACAGACAGTTCCAAGTTACTCCTCAAAAATTCCCTTCATAATGTTTCTTCATAAAATAAAAGTTAAGATAGTTTTTCAAGAAAGAAGTCTTCCTCTTCCTATTTTTCTCTGTCTTTTCCACAAACTCCTTATCAATCATGTTAAATTCATATTCTTTGTAGCTCTGTAGAGAATGATAATAAAAACTGTTACTCTCCTACTTTGAGTTTTTAAAAATTTAATATTTTGGTTTTTCCCCAATTACATGTAAAAATAATTTTGACATTATCTTTTTCAGATTTTGAATTCAAATTCTCTCCCTTCCCCACTGCCCCCCCATTGTTAAGGCAAGCAATTTAACATGTAGGTTTTACATATGTAGTCATGCAAAACACATTTCCGTGTATAATTTTTTTTAAGAGACAGTAGCAGTTTTTCTGGCCACTATAATCACTACAAAACACCTTTTGAAGCATGTGTTATACTTGTATTCCTTTGTATGTACTTCTGATATGTGTATGTGTTAACATGTCCTGTAGGTAATAAGGCATGTTGTTGCTGTATATTCTTGCAAACGATGCTTTGTACAGTGCTATGTCTACTACATATACTGGGGTTTTTTTATTCCTTTTTCCCCCATTAGATATTTCCCAATTACATTTAAAATTTTTGTTTAACATTAATCTTTTAAAATTGTGAGCTCCAAATTCTCTCCTGCCTCTCCCCCACTTATTGAGAAGGCAAGCAATATGATATCAATGATACATGTGAAGTCTGCATGTACTGTTAATGTGCATTCATTTTATTTTGGTTTCAATGATACTGAAATTGGTTGTCTGGGGCACCAGGAAAACCATTCTTGTTCTTTTAAAGCACTGATGTTTGTGTTTATACTGTATACCGACAGGTTTTGGATTTGCCCCAGCTAGTCTTTGGATGGGACTGCAAAGAGGTTCTGCCCATGTAACTCCTGCCCCAAAGACCATTGGTATGGGACTCTCTTTTTATTGGTGAAGATAAAGGCCCTGTCCTATGTGAGGGGCAGGGTGGCAGTTGGTAAGAGTGGCAGAGCTGAAGTATTCTTCATTCTTCTTCAAGACTATTCAAACTCTGAGTTATTTCAGGTACTTCTGGCTTCCAGCTTTGAGAAGGAAGATGGAAGAAGCCAACTTCATTTCAGGTTGCTAAAGGAAAAGACTTTGGGCAGACCATAGAAGAGCTGACAGTCTCCATCATGTCTCTGTCCCCAGCTGGCTACAATAGAGACTTCGGGGAATTTCCCTTTGATCTAGATCTAACCAGTAGCATTAGCAAGGTAGCAACAGCTAGATCTATAGGAGTTGTATCGATGGTATTGCAAGAATGTGCATTTCATCACTGTGATGTTGGAAGAGAATAAAGGTTAGTTTTCTTTTACCAGCAGCTCCAGGGAGTTTTCATTTCCTTAGCAAAAGAAAAGTTGTGAACTAAGTTGGAGGTTCAGACTTGGCCAGTCGCTTGGGTAGTCCTTTTATTTTGTAACTGAACTTCCAGTCAAGCCTGGGGCTTTTTGCATGCAGCTACATCCACAGAGTGGGACATGATTTCTAATTGTTGGAGGGAATACTGAAGTAATACTGTATACCTGCATAAGGAGCAGAGTTAGAGCCAGAGTTTCTTGGAATAGAGATATTTGCAGTTCCAGAGCATCTTTAGGATAGAGACACATTGAGAGCAAAAAGCTACTGGAAGCTATAGCCGTGCAGAAGTAGGCTTCTCAACATGTCCCTGATTTCCAGCTTGCTTCCCTAGAGACTCCTTTGGGCAAGCTCTGGTGTTTCTTGGTCTGAGTTGAAATCTCATCTCACTCCCAGCTAAAGAGCTCATTTAATTTTGTGTACTTCCTGGGATCTTCTAATCTGTTTAATTTCTCCATTTTTTGTTTGCTGTTTGCTTGGATAAATGGATTTATTCCATTTGCTATTTGTGATGGCCTTTTGGGTGGCCACTATTTGATGGGAAGGAGCCAAGATGGTGGGTATGAGCTTGGGGCTAATACTTTCCTAAGAATGACCAGGGAAGTAGCTTTATTTTGAAACTTCCTCTCAGCCAACAACACTACTAGAACAACAATATTTGAGGACAGAGATATGCATAATTTCTAATCTGATATCCTTCTAGGAGATGAGTAAAAGATGGAGAAAGTGCCTAACAGTTCTCTTACTCCCCTTTTGGTGAAAATTGCAGTCTTCTCTGGAGAGGAGTGGGCCAGATTCTATAGATAGCTATCCCTTCCACCCACCCACTCATGAGTTGCATGTCCATGCATTTAGACACGTCCACGTGGACGTATATATCTTATATGGGAGCGCACCTATTTTTCATGTATCTTTTTGATTCTGATGTCACATAGTAAACGTACTGGTATTATAAGTTTTATTTTTTGAGTTACAGTGAAATTGGGAAGAAGATAAAAATCTTAATGGGAAATGGAGCGTGACCTATATTTTATAATTTTTCTATACTTTAAACTCTGAGTAGGGGTTATACAAGCTGATAAATTTACAAAGTAAAATATATAAATGATTTTCCATTTTAAACTTTACAGTAAGCTATGAAGAAACAGTCCCATAGCACTAGGAAGCAGGATGTTGATGCTCCTGGATCTTGACCCCACTCTTCCCCCCATTTATCTTAGGCAGTTATGTGATACGGTGAATAGAGCACTGGGTCTGGAGACAAAATACCCAACTGCCCCAGCTTCAGACATTTATTAGCTGTGTGACCCTGGGCAAGTCTCAACCTCTGTTTGCCTCAGTTTCCTCAAATGAAAAATGGGAAGCATAATAGCACCTATCTGCTAGAATTGTTATGAGAATCAAATGAGATATTTGTAAAGCACTTAGCACAGTGACTGGCACATAATAGATACCTAATAAATGCTTGTTCTCTTCCTTCCCCTTCCTTCCTTTGTCTGTCCTTCCTTTTCCTGTGACCATGTAGGGACTAGATGTTTTTGCATATTGGAAAATTTCCTATACTACCTGAAACAATAGCATCAATCTCTTGTACATGAGAAGGGGGCCTAACCTAAACCCCTGCCTTTTAGATTTAGATAGTGAGTTTTCCCAAATTAAGGTGTCCAACATGCATGATCTTCCTTACATACTTAAGTAAAGATTTTATATTCCTTTGAATGTAACACAAGTTCTAAAGAAAAGGAAAGGAGATGGCACTTGTAGTTGAACCTTGGAGGGAGCTAAGGCAGAGTTGAAGGCATGGAGGACAGCCAGAACAAAGGCACGGAGGTGAAAGGAGGGATGTTGTGTACAACAAAGAACAAGAAGGCCAGCTGGAGCACGATGTATGTGAGATGTGATCATATATAATCAGCCTAGAAAGATAGTCTGGAATCAGGTTGTGAAGACTTTAAACACCAAACAGTGGAGTTTATATATAAACATAAAATCAATAAAGAGATACTGAAGTGTCTTGATCAGAAGAATGACATGGCAAGACCTACATTTTAGGAATATAAATTGGCAGCTCTAGGGAGGATAAATTGAAGAGGAGAGAGACTGGATGCAGGGAAACCAATTAGGAGGCTATTGCAATAGTAGAGAAAAGAAGTGATGAGGACCTAGATTAAGATAGTTATGGTGTAAGTAGCGAGGAGACAGCTGCAAGAGATGCTAAGGAAGTGAAATAGATAAGATTTGGTGGTTGGATATAAGGGGTAAATGAGAGTAGAGTCATGGATATCTCCAAAATTGTTATCCTGCGTAACCAGAAGAATTGTGGTGACCTTAAAAAAAAAACAACAGAGAATCTAAGAGCAGTTAGTCGTTTTAGGGGGAATGAAAATGAATTAAATTTTGGGTATGTTGAGTTGGGGGGGGCCTATAAGACATTTAAGTGGTGATGTCAAGTAGGCAATTGATTATACAGGCTTGAAAATGTAGAGAGACAAAAGCTGGATATGTAAATTTGGGAATCATTTATATAGAAATGATAGTAGATTCCAGTCAAGAAAGAAGAGGAGTGGTCTTAGGACAGAGTCCTTAGGTACATCCCACCTATGAAGGTAGAAGATGTACAATAAGCCTGCTATTACCCTCTTCTGTCATCTTCTGGTCTTCAGCTGCTATACATACTCTCCCTTTGTTAAGTTCATAACCCAGGTATTATTTTTTTTCTTTTATGATTTCAGAATCCAGCTAGATATATCCAGCCAGCTAAGTAGAAAAGCTGTTAGGCATTTAGGTCCATCTTTTTCAATCAGACTGTCACTAGGACTCTCTCAAATCAAAACCTTTATTCAAATTATGCACAGAAGATTCCTTTTAACCCATACACCTGAATGCCAACTTTAGTCTCTACACATAATCTCAGGAGTTCCACTTAGCAAAACTGCAAAGAAGTTGGATGTAGCTATGCAGAGAAGATTCCTTCCAGTTGTTTTCATTCAAGTAATCTCAGGAATAAAACTATAAAGGGCTAGGTAGAACTGGTGGGGTCGGCAACATTTGCTTTGCTTCCCTAGAAATCATTGCTATACTCCCTGCTCTTCTATTAATATAGTATAAGATGTTATTAGCATTTTGGACTGAAATGTAATACTTATAATGCTAGCTTTTCTTTTTTTTTTGTGAGGCAATTGGGGGTAAGTGACTTGTCCAGAGTCACACAGCTAATAAATGTTATATGTCTGAGGCTGTATTTGAACTCGGATCCTCCTGACTCCAGGGCTGGTGCTCTATCCACTGTGCCACCTAGTTGCCCCTTTTTTATTTTTTATGTTTTATTTCTTTAGCTTTTCCTTTAAACTTCATGTTAGTTGCAAATTTGATATTCACTTTTTCTGGGTCTTCATCCAAGTCATTGATAATAATGGGAACAGAATAGAGCTGAAGGACTTGAGTGATCTGTGGCACTCAATTCCTTCCAGATTGACACATCCATTAATCACCATTCTGGGTTGAGTTCAGTCAGTCCAGAATCTACCTAACTCTATTATTTTCAAGTTCACCTCACTCCATCTTGACCACATGAACAGCATATTAAATTTTGTCAAATCCCTGGCTGAAATCCCAGTAAACTATGTCTGGCATTCTCTTGATCTAAGCCTCTAGGATTCTCATCCAAAAAAGAAGCAAGTTTAGATTACCATAATTTATTTTGAATGAGTTCATGCTGGTTCTTAACAATCATCAGTATGTTCTTTCTCAATAACTCACCAACTATTCCTTTAATGATGCATTCTAGAACTTTTCCAGGAATCAAAGATAAACTCATCAGCCTATATTTTGAAGACTCCATCCATTTTATTTCTCTTGCAAAATCAGAACATTTTCACTTCCTATCTCTTGTCTTATGGCATTTCTCCTGTTCTTCAGAACTTTTTCCCAAAGCCACTTAGGCATAGCTATCACAACTTCAGGTTCTTTTAGCAACTCATCACTTATCTTGAGTTTCAATAGTCTTTTAAGTGCTTCTAGCACTGGGGCTAGCAAGGAACTGCTTGGCTGAGGTCATGGGGATTGAGGACCTGCACCAATCCCCATCCTTTACCTGCCCTCACAGTTTGCTCTATGTTCATTGCTTTTAGATTGATTGTCTTCTCTACAGGGAAATAAGGCTCCCCAGTGTGTGCTTCCTTCCCTCCCTCCTTGACTTGGATTCCTGGGAAATAAATCATTTTTTTGTTGTTGTGTAGAGTCCCCAAAAGGTGAAGTAAAAGATGTTCCAATATGTAACACAAATAAGGCATGGAATGAGTGGCTTATTCCCTCAAAGAAAAAGAAATGCTTAGCAATAAAGAACCATGGAATCCTTAGAACAGAATCTAGTAACTTAATACTACAAATACAATTCAAGGTATAGTGTTTTTAATAACCTAGTGCTTCTCTCTGAAACAAAGGTTCATCTTTTAACATCAATATTCTTCTACTAATGCTGCATGCACCTCTCCCTGTAACTTGTGAATCCCTCACAATCTGAATTTCATTCTCAT